CAAGCCGAATTTCAAAAACGATATCCAAAAAGGAGACAAAGATAGGATGACTAGCGAAGAGATTCGAGAGGCCATCGATGACCGACTGAAAGGAGAGGTCAAGATGAACACGATGCGATACCCACAGATCCTCCGGCGCTATATTGACGCCAACTGGATCTCTAGTCCCGGTCTTCCATCTTTCGTCATCCCAATCGGACCTTTCCAGTCGAAGAACCAAACCATGACCACTCAAGGGAAGCTGCCGGCTCCACCCTCTTTCCTTTCCTTCATGGCTACAAATAACAAGAAGAATCTCTTGTATATCATGGAAGCCTCTCTTGAGGAAGAGTGCAAGTCAATGGCAAATCTGCATCGCTACGTGCAAGAGGTCCTGAACCGAAAGTTTGCCTCGCTATTTGTCGAGATAGATGTTGGAAGCAAGGAATGATTCTCATATTCATTTCGGGGACAATTTTATCCATTGACGCATATACCCTCTTTGCATAGTTTGGGGAAAGCTGGACTCCCAGATTAGCCTTCGCATGACTTTTAATTTTTTACTATGATACACTCCTTGTATCACTGCATAAATTGCTTATAAATACAATGAACTTTGACCTATGTTATGCGAGAGTAGTGATTTGAGCCTCATCTACGAGTTCGTATATTCAAGCGTTACGACTCAAATCTCCTCTTGAACTCAACCACGTCGCCTGTTTTCACAAATTCCTGATCCCTTATAGCCAATCTAGAATTCATGAAAAAAAAGCGATTCAATTATCCAATCACTCTGCCAGTCCGCTTCAGTTTAGGCGCAAACCATCGCATTCGTCAGGAGCAGACTGCTGGTCAGGAGCAATTGAATTGAACCCTGCGCACGAGCCACAACAACTGAGACAGGCAAGCATGAAGACCAAATAATAATGTTTAACACGGCACAATTTGTCATCGCTTGGTATCACGAGTCTCCAATTAGCGAACTACAACTCCACGCGCATGAACTTTATCAGAAGCATTTTGTTGGATTTGGGTGCGTATTTTTCAGAGGTTGTGCCATGTTATCGCTGAACCTCTGTGTTCAGACGTTGATTTCCAAATTATTCTCCATGAAATAATCAAGATAATAGCCAACGCGACTAAGTGGCTGTACACTACACAGCCACATCCCAATTCGGAAGGGCTGATGTCCCAGCGAATAAAACTCATGGCCACGATTATTCTTTGCTATTCAAGTCGCTACTCTTTGGTCGAAACTCGTTGAAGATCATCCTGTAGAAACCGAACTCCGACTCACATGTCTTCAGCTTTCTTTGGTGAGCAGTAAATCTACAATTATACAAGCTACGCGAAGTAATAAATACAGACAGCCTTGGACATATGCCTCATACCAGACGCCTCCTAAGGTAGCTCTTTCAGTCAATAGGGTCATCCTTGCTGTGGCTTATATTGCAGATATGTGAGTAGTTTGTACAACCCCTCCCAGCGAAAATGTACTCAACATTCCAAATAACCCAAACGACAGGTTTGGCTATTCGTTAAACCAGGTCTGAGCGCAAGACGTGCTATAGATCTTGCCAACGATTTCTGGACTTTTCAGTGCAACCACGTTACCCTCCTCCATTCTGGAAAACTTCCAAAGGTATGTACCCATTTGAATTCGTTTGACCATTGTAGAGTATTCATACTGATCGCCATGCAGGTTTGGATCAGACCGATTTTTTGAGCATTGGTAATGCGGCTCCAGCGGAGGGTACCTGCCCTCTAAGCGTCGCCTCACAGATGCTTTGGGCTTCATAATCAACCCGAGGATACTCGCTATTATCAATAAGCGCGGGTGCGTGTGACAATATCTCCGCACTTAGTCTGCGAATGGTAAGTACCTACTTGACCCTTGTTCTTCGATCATATTATAACCTTCTCAGGCTTAGAAGCAGGGGTTTTGTATTCTTTTTCGTACAGAGACTGGGCCTATCTCCGGCCATGCTCACCGTTCTGGTGAATTGGGAATCAGCCGCAGTATATTCCGACTGGCACCCAAGGTGATTACCACGCGTTTGATTTGCTGGTGATGTGCACAGTATTAAATTCATGTTTTCTCCAGTCCTGGGAGCACGGACACCTTGACTCCTGCCATTGAGCTTCATGCGAACCAGATTCTGGGCACCCCGATATCGGTGTCGCTGATGAGGATTCTTCCATCTATCAAATCTTCTTGTCAGATGGACGTCAATCTGACTCTTATTCCGTTTTTCTCGTATCAGATGGCAAGTCTCACATTATCGTGCCACACGGCCATTTCTGATGTGTCATTCTTAGATCTCATCTGCCTCATCGTCAGTTTCTTGGTATCCCATATAACATCATCACGGTCTTCAAAATGTGGAGCGCAACTGTCAACGTAAAGATGCTAAAATTAGAGTCGACCTACCCTTCGGCTTCAAATGACCAGACCAAACCCTCTTCTGTCAGCATTCTATCGTTTCTAGACCGGCATTCATGCAAGAAGCTTGAGGGTTGGTAATCTCCGACGGATGCGGATCTTCGAGCCATGATCGCTGATCCCCAAAGTGGACAAAGCTTCACAAGCGTTGCTTTGTCGTTTGTTGGTAAAGCTCGGTAATGGATGTGGCATGGCCACCGGGCTTGCTTCCTATAACCGTTATCAGTAAGAAAAGCACCACTCGTGAGGGTAGATGGACATCTCTGGACAGCTTCGAAGATATTCAGGGCGACTGATGCCCGGGGTGATGAATGGGCGGAATAGACTTTGTGGGTACGCGTGCTCCCCTGCGGCCCTTCTCCTGTAGCTCTAACGAATATTGGCGCTTAAACAGGAGCACGAATCAGATCCAGTAAATGTCTCACAAAACCACCCGATCGAGGCATCAATTTGGCCGTTGCCCGAATTGTGATTGGGCGCTACGGTCGAGCATCGCCGCTCGACGAAACCGAAGCTGATGGCCGAGCGTTGTGGCATTCCTTGACAGACCTCTTTCGCCACACGAACGTTTTCGAGTGGGTATAAAGGCACCTCACAAATCTTCTAGGTCGAAACTTCACATCTATTTTTTCCCCAACTTTGCCCAGTCCTCTACGAGTACTCTTGTCGGACATGTCCAACATCGACTTCAAAACTCCTCTTCTCGCAGCTGGGTTCTCCGGCGACCTTGTCATTCCATCAGACCCAGATTACAAAGCATCGCTCACCCGTTTTGCCAAGAACGCACAAAAAAATGCCGGTCTCGTAGCATTTGTCAAGTCTGCTGAAGACGTCTCACATGTTATCAAATTTGCCTCCGCCAACTCGGTTCCTATTGTCGTTCGCGGTGGTGGACACAGCACGTCTGGGAGTTCGTCCACCGAAGGCGGCATTGTGATTGATCTCTCGAGACATGTAAACAGTGTCCGAGTTGATGAGGAAAAGCGGTTGGGCTATGTGGGTGCGGGTGCGAGCTGGAGGGCTGTAGATGAAGAGGCCATCAAGCATGGTCTCGCAACTGTTGGTGGCACGGTTAATCATACTGGTGTTGGAGGACTCACCCTCGGTGGTGGTTATGGTTGGCTGACGGGTGAACACGGTATGACGATTGACAATCTTGTCCAAGTACGTCGATTTCCCGTCGAACTAGGTGAAAGATATCTAACACTTGTCCTGTGTCTTGTAGGTCACGATTGTAACTGCGGATGGTACCATCCACACCGTCAACGCCGAGACGGATCCCGACTTATTCTGGGCGATTCGAGGTGGCGGACCCAACTTTGGTTGTGTGACCGAGTTTGTGTATCGTCTGTACCCTCAACGACCCACCGTCTATGCTGGCCCACTCATCTACCCTCCTCCCATGTTTGAGGCCGTCGTTGCTGCTGTGGGCGAGTGGTATAGCACTGTGAGCGAGAAGGAGGCTATCATGATGGTCACTACCTCTCGTGGTCCGACTGGGGACCCAGCTGTTGTCGTCTTTGTGTTTTATAACGGTGATGAAGAAGAGGGCAAGGTGAAGTTTAAGAAGCTCTTGGATCTCGGTATGTCCCTTCTTCCTGCTTGCGCAAGG